ATATATGTATATAATTATTAGAATTACATACTTTGAAAAATACAAAAATGACTTAATTACCATGAATGATAAATTAAAACATTACTTAGAAGAATCTATTAAGAGTAATGGTGTAATAAAATCACTTAAAAAGGAAAACATATTATTACGATAAACATATTGATCATGAAAAGCAAGCCCACTATGAAGCTTACAACTTGACACAACCTCAATCTCTACTAGTAGGTCCTGAGAGTGCATTTTGAGAAAGCATATTCCACCAAATATAATCTTAGCTACTAGGTCACAGAATTGCCTGTTTTTGAGCATCAACATCAGCCTCGGACATTGCGAATTTGAATGTGATGTGTAAATTCTTGTCTCCAGATCGAGTGTATTCGGCTCTGAATCAAGGTGACATATTCTCCAACATTCAGATGCCCATGACTCTGTTCCATCAAATCAGGTATCAAACGATGAAAAATTATAGTAAGAATACTCCAAGAAAAATAAGTATTTGTTATACCAGCAAGAACTTGATGGCTCTAGAGAAGGTCTCTTCTGCATCAACAGAGAAGTGCATGTATATAGGCAACACCCCATGGTAAAGTGATAGCCTTTGCTTTACGAATTCCCTGCAAACATCATTTAGTTTCCTGTTATTCAATGACCAACAAGACACAAGGGTTTGAGGAATTCCTTACAGGAAGTTGTATTGAAGTAGTAGAGATATTTGTGTCAGACGTTCTATCGAAATATATCACAACTTGGGTGCTTACTCATTTGTGAATGCAAATAAAGTTGATGAAGGCCGATAGTGGCTTAAAAGTGTAGCCATGGAACCAGTTTGTGTGAAAACAATAATAGGTGTGCCAAGAGTATTGGCCATTATCGTTGCATGTAAAGCAAACATCGCACTTATGTGGCTCTGAGAAAATTCTCCAAGGCTTGCACGCTGCTAAAAAAACATGAAAGAAACATTGCAACGTAGATGATAGTATTATGGTTGTCTGAGACAAGCATGAAAAGTCTAAATCAAAGAAGAAAATGAAAAAAAAAAGTTAGGTTCAATCTTCTTGTAAACATGGATACCTGGACTGCAGGAGCAGGAATAGGGGGCTCAACTGTGCTTGAAATTGCCAATTTTGTTTTTAATGCCACAGTGTGCATTACTTTAACAGCTCTCAGTGGATAACTACAGCAAAAAGTTACTTAAAACAAAATAATTTGCCCATGGGAGGAATAAAACAATAATATGATAAGGTCATAGTGTAATCATCTGTGTGCAACAACAAAATAAGTGATGTCTGTGCTTCCTAGCATAAATAATTTTTTCTCTTAAATCTTCCAAATGCTCTGTTAGCTATTAGTTGCAATTCAAAGGTCCATGGACAGTAATATCTTATTGTTAGAATAATTCAAAATAAATAAAATTGGTCGAAATAGACATCCTTATATCTATTCATTCATGCAGTATAATTGTCAATAGCAAAGAAAAACTACCAAAGGAAGAGCTTACTTCCCATGGGCAGTTTCACCTGATAGCATGATTGCATCTGCACCTTCACGAACTGCAATTGCTATGTCAGAAACTTCAGCTCTAGTTGGTGTTGGATGGCTTATCATGCTTTCTAACATATTTGTCGCTACAATCACTAGTTTCCCCATGCCTCTACACCTTCTAATTATCTCCTCATGCAAAGTTAGGTAGAGGAGGTTAAATTAAAGTCATAAAAGGTTAACTCCATCATCAATTAGTTGTCATCACCAAAAAGGGGGAGATTATTGAATCTCATATTTTGATGATGAAACCAATTGATAAGTGTTTATGATTTAATCTGCGTTTTGAGTGATACAGGATGCTTCGATCAGGATGAGACAATTAAGCAGTTTTTGACCTTACAGCTAGTGACATCATTCCCCCTAAAACAACATCAGGGAAGTCTGTGATGCTTAAATTGACAACCAAAAAGAAACTTGTTGAATTGTATTCTCACATTGATCATGTTATACACGGTGGTCCATATGAATTAATACTATATAGATCCATGGACAAAGACATGATAAACTAGACACCCACATGAGTATCCAATCAATCAAGAAGAGAAGATATAGATCTTGGGACAAGTAATAAAAAAATTTTGATTGTTAGATAAACATGAAGATAACTGAAAAGAAAATTAATTTGCTACTACAAAACTGTTGTAATGATTGTTTGTAATTGAAAAACTACAGATTTAGAGATCCAAAAATTTTCTGGATCACTACTTGCATATTGACTTGTGGATATATGATCAACACAAACTCTATGACAAGTGTGTCCAAGTAATGCTTATGAGAGGCCACCTTAATTCCACCAAAAGTTTGACATCTGAGAAATTAGTTTCCACTTGTATGCTTTGCAATTAGCAATGCATTCATAAAGTCTATTTACAAACATTTCCAAAGATGTCGAAACCAAGAGTCATTTAAAAATTATATGCAATTACCATCAACCAAAAGAATGTCACCAACTTCGACATCATTCACAAAGTCATCATAGTTTACAATGACTGTATCATCAGAACTGACCCCGCTTTTGATAGTAAGGTTGAACACCTGACCTTCCTTTAGCAAGATAGGCTGGGCGACGTCTCCACTTCTTACCTCAGGACCCTATATCAGCAGAGTAGTAGATCAGACATAACTTTCTTTTGTGAATGTTAGTTTCAAGGAATAACCAAGACAAATTAGCATCAATGAAACCAAACACCCCATATTAGGAGGAAATCGTCACAGACTTTTACTGGTCATATAATATCTCTTGATCTTCATATGCAGATAGGTTGAGTAGCCCTATATCTAGGAAGAAGTTTGGTGAATAAGAAGTTCATGATTGGTGAGGTTAAAACAGTTGAAGCAACATAAACAAATACAATGGACATTAGAATTTTCTGCATACTATTCACAGCACACATCTTGGCCCTATGAAGTGTTGACAATCACTTAGTTTTTCATGCCACATAATACTCATTTGAAATAGGATGAAACTAAAAAGTAGGAAAAAAGGAGTAGGAAAAAAAAAACAGGGAATGCATGCGGAATAAAAAAGTGCAAGTTAATTTGGTAAATTTATTGTAATTTTTAGAATAACCTACTTAGCTACTCTATCCACAAGCACTGCCATTCTGGTCTAACCAAATAAATACAAAAAATACAGCAGATTTACTAATCCAATGATTTGATCAACTTTAGGTAGTCACAGAAAGAGGTGCAGAAAATTGAGCATTCAGTCTTCTTCTGCCATGGCACAAAGTTCCAAGTCCAAGTAATATTCATTAACCATAATCAACAAGCAAAATCTATAACATCGTTAAGGCATTCTTTCTAGGACCAGGTAGGGTACATCAACTGCAACTACCTTTGGGACAGAATAAGTCAAAATATGTGGAATATTTAGATGTCGAAACCAAAGTTCACAATACCGTACCGTACTGAAGTTTCGACCTGGGCTGGGTATCGATATGGTACGGTATACCGAGCGGTACACCCAGGTGTACCGCTCGATATATTTAAGCGTGTCGAGCACTGTAGCATTGCTACAGTGTTGCTACAGTGCTAAAGTCAGGCATTGACTGTCCAACCTCAACAAGCATTGGAATAGCTAAATTAACTTTCAAACAAGTATCAAATCAAGGATTACGAATAATACCACCCGTACCGAGCGATATTATATATATAATATATATATTATATATATTATATATTATAATATATATATTATATAAATATGCAACGTCGCCTCGGCGACGTCGTCTAGGTGACATCGCCTTTTTCTCCCCAGGCGGGAAAAGGCGACGTCGCATCGCCTCGGCACCGAAAATTCTTTTTATATATAT